GGGCTTTAAAATAGCACAACTACAAATTTTAATGAATGGGTGCTTTGGTGTGGTTTGCTCTCTCTTTTTTATCAAACATCTGTCGTCCTGATCTCTCCTCCTCCTTTATATTGATATGTTTGTTACTCTTTTGTTACACCTCCAATTTTCGGCAATTATATGACCTGATTTTTTTTATTGTGTTGCCGTAAAACTCTTACTAAAACTAAAACTAACTATTAACAATACTTGTGTTAACAAATCTCTCAATTTGAAGAGAAAGAACATTTAAACATTTTTGGGTGAGAAGAATTTGTAACGTTGCTTTCTTAGTTCACCTTCAGATACCTAGAACTAGAACAGAAGAACGGCGAGGCAAAGCGTTACGGTTGTACTCCGCTGGACATGCAGTCCTCCTTAAGAAATGTTACCGGCTTTTGTGGTGTAGCGGTTTGACGCTTCGCTGATGTTGCACGCATGAGATTCGAGTTCGATTCCCCAGTGGGGAGAAACATTGTATCGGTTATTTCGATCTTTCTGCTGGGATGTACATTAATTGTACCTCCCTTATCACGGGTTGACTCTGACAGGCAGGGTTGGAAGCCCATCTCCTAAATGATAGAAACCGTGTGGATGGGGGCATTATTTATTTATTTATTTATTTATTTATTTTTATTTTTTTTTAAACTTAAATACCTAAATTCTACATCTCAGGAAAAAAAGTGTCGCGTCTTTTTAACGATCAAAGCGCCAGCCATTCCGGTAGTATAAGTTAAAATAAGTTATACTCCCAAATTATAATTATAACCGTGCACTCAGTTCTACAGAGGCACTGATACGATTCTAAACCATTTCTCATGCTCTACGCTGCTTCAAGTTCCAGGACAGAACCAATAATTATTTGTTTTATTTTGTTGTTTTTTTAAAGAGTTTTGCGGCATTTGCAACACAATTAGGTCTTACATGTGCCGAAAATTAGAGGTGTTGCAAGAGTAACAAACACAAAAAGGACGGTAGATGCTTGATAGAAAGAAGGAGCAAACCACACCAAAGCATTCGCAAACTACCCACACTAGTAATTCGAATTAATTTGTTTTTTATCACCCATGATCTGGCCCGTTGGTCCAGCGTGCAGTACACATTCAAGTGTTTTTGTAAAAGGAAGTTTGTGAATAATGGATTTCCGTTTCCCCTGGGCTTTGGTACGGCACTAGAGATGACGAGATGTTTCCACCAGCACAAACTTAACGAGCCCACGAGTCACAAGGTGACGGCGAGGAAGATCCTGACGGCTGTGGTCAGGTCACGAGAGTCAACATCCGTCTCCTTGACACCTCGAACCGCGAAGTGGGGAAATTGGCTGAAATTGCTTAGGAAGGGTCTCATCGTAGCAACAGCTCATCCTGAATAGTGGAAATTGGTAGATCTAGTTTCATCACTCCCACGCTAGTCACGACCTTGAGTATCAGTTTTGAGATTGAGAAACCAAGAAGATTTTAGGCGAGGGAGTCGGCTCACGACTTGGTTGATGTATCATATCATAATATTATCGGAGCATGTTTCGCGGGCGAATCTTGTTCGAGCCCTTCGGGTGACAGATCTGGACTTTGATTCTTTAGACTTTTTGAAAGGTTTCAATCCAGTTGTTTGCTCTCAGCTTTATCAACAGTCAAGATGAACAAAGAGGCTAAATATAGCTTTACCAGTCCATTTTGAAAGATGCTACAGCTGGGCCCTGAGATCTGTATCAAGATGTTACACATACATGATACAATGCAATGAAATTATAAATAAAGAACGCTAAAAAGAATACTACGTTTTACAGCAATCCTTGATCTAAGCGTAAGCATAATTAGCTCCTTGTGAAAGAGAAAAAAAGACATAGATTTTGAACAACACACGGGTAGTACTAGTACAATACAGAGTTATATGAACAGTGGGTTTTTTATGTTTGGTTTACGCCACCATCAAGACAATTTAGATCATTTGAGACGAGCCACACTGACTGTGCCTGCTACTTTAACCAAAAGAGTGATATATACCCTAGTATATGTAGAAAGACAAATTTGTATTCCGCACCAGAGAGTTTTACACTATCAGATTTCACCATAGAATTCTACGTGGATTCCACGCATTATATCTTCGCTGTTTAGGAATCGAACCTATAAAAAAATATCTTTTGCTTGGTCATAGAGCCGTCCTGTGTGTACACACACACACATAAACACAGGCGCGCGCACACACACACACACTCATGATG